TAATCTCGTACGGTAGTATACGGTAATGATTTATTATGATAAATAAATTTTACTTAAATTAAGAACTCCATTAGTTATTTTTATAATTTCTACCAACTTTCATTTCTATATGTTGAGTAGTGTGATATTCTTACTGCACTAGTGTAACTCACTCTTTTATTAACCATTTCAGATCAAGAGTATCAAGATTTAAAATCCGATTCACAAGAGCGTTGCGAGTAGGATGTTTAGTTTGTTCATTTTTTATTTATTTCTTTAATTATTAATTGTTCTTTTATAATAGTCATTATATCTCTATTGGTTATTTCGAATTATTTTGTAAGGAATGTGAACCATAATTTATTATTTTACTTCTGCATTCAATTCATAATTTATTTCCTCACGGGCCGTTTCATTTTCAGCAATTCTTCACAATGTCACATGATTTTGAATGAAACTTACATGAAAGCTAATTCTTTTATACTTATGTTTATACGCTCACATACTTGCTGCATGAGGGGAGGTATTCTGTTTGTACCTTGACTGCTTTAAGAACATCCTCCGCATAAGGAGTCCATGCTCCATTCAAGAGAGAATATTTAGTAATGTAATCCCACATCAAGCAAATATATAGATCTACAATGATTTATGTACATATTGGACAACTCTTTTTGCTATTAATATCATATGAATTTGGTTCAGAATTTACTAAGAACTCACAGATTTTAACAAAATATTATAGAAGAATTAAAGTGTCGTTCATAAAAATGATTTGAGTCAAAACAGTAATGCAAGACCAAGCTCCAAAAAAATATAAAATTAAAAATTTAGAAAAAAATAAGCAACTATCAAAATCAGAGATTTAAAGTTCAAAGTGATCCAGAATAAGAAGGCGTACATGTTTTGTATACACATAAATAGTACCCTCCTATCTGTAATGCAAGTTCCTGATATTATCATTCATACATAAATAAAAAATCACGAGCTACAATATTTGAAATATTATTGGGAATGAGGGATCAGAAATAAATCAAGATAAAAAGGAGAAATAAAACAAAAAGGGAAAAATACATAACAAAAATCTATTGCCCCTTCATTCCAAAAGGCCTTCTGACGTTTCCTGATTTGCAAGTCCAATGTACCCTTCCAGTGATTGCTGAATTTTTATTCATTTTCTTCTTTTTTATGTTTATCTTATTTCTTTCTATCATTTCCTTAGTCCTTATCAAATGTAAAAAATTTAAATGGCTTATCCAATTTATTAATCTCATGCCACTGCTTCTTTGTTGCTTACTAAATTAAAAGTAGTAGCCTGACTGCAGTAACTGGTCCTTTGATAAAAACAACAGCGAAACAAATAGTAGCCTAAAATCATCATCCAATCTGTTTATCACATCATATCATGGAATTCACTATATGCTTTATCAAAAGTATTAATCTACATGCAGAAAGCCCAAGCATGCAACATACCATTTAATAATCATATATGTATAGAGCAAAACTCCAACAGTGAATCAAAAAGCAAACCAGTATACCTGGAATCCAATACAATAAGCAAAAATCTCATAGTAAGTGAGAAGCAAAAAGCTCCAATAGGAAGGCCCCTTGCAGAAGGTCAGTAAATGCACATATAAACTTAAAGACTCACATTTAGTCCGACAAGCAACATTTAGCAATCCAAACATAATGGTATCATGCCATGCAAGAGGAAGAAACACAGTCTAACAGTAAGTCAAAGGAGTGGCCAATGAAAGGTGTCCAAGTCACGACTAGTAAATTATGGAAATGAAGGCATGAGCATGATGAATTCGGAATTAACCAAAAGCATCAACAGAAGCACAGAAATATAGTACAGGAGACACCGTGCATGTAATCCTTCAACCATAACGTTAAGAGCAATTAGAAGTATATAAAACTGATCCAAATACAGAAACATCATGCCAACAAAACCAAATATGCATCACTGTTCTGTTCAATTCCTAATGTCTCTAAACCTATATGTACATTCTTGCTGTTAATGATTAATCAAGAGCCATCATGAAGCATTAAGAAATCCTTAAACAGATGGGTAAGTAGCAGAATGTATCTCAAACTTAATCAAAAGATGCCAGTTCATTCTAACCATTATTTTTTTTCTTAAAGCGGGAAACATCGAAGTTCAAGTTAGATAATATATGGGGGATTGACAATATGAAACAAAAATAAAACCGTTTTACAGTACCTCGTCAACAAATTTCTTTTAGTCATTTTACCAAACAGTTAATGCGAATGCATTCTAAAAGACAACAGAAAAGAAAAAACATTTATCCAAGTCACATCAGGTTCCAATCATCTTCAATAACTAAAGAATGATCAAAATAATTTGCGAAAGGGAGAGAAGAGGGCAGACCTACATCACCCGCGTTGGGTTTTTATCCAACTCGCCTCGAGCCCTTAATCCTCTTCTCCTCAGCCTTTTTTGCAATTTTCTTCCCCAAGCCTACTCTTGTTTTCTGCTCAAGGATGCCCAAAAATCTCCTCCTTACTTCACCGACTCCTCCATCTCATTCTGGGTTCTCTTTTTTTTATCCACAGACCGAGGAATTGATCCGCTCTATTTCTACCTTGAGTCAAAACACAGCCTGCTCTGATACCAACAGCGCCACTTGTCTTTTTGGTTCCGGCTTCTATTCAACTGCTACTCACATGGAACGTTCCCACTTTTTCCTACGTCTTGACGTCTTCCTCTCTCTCGCCAAGCGCCTCAATCCTCTCTGTTGTCAGCACGAGCGCTGTCTGTTCCTCTCCGTTTTCGTTTTCAGATAAAAGAAGCAAACTTAAGGCCATCTCCCTCTCAATTCCTGTAGTCGAAAGAAGGAAGAAAAGAAATTGAAAATAAAACGGGGCGACATTTTGGATATCTGGAGGTAGCATTGGGTTTATGTATGGGCCGATGGATTGAAGAGCTAGGAAGGGTAACTTATTTTTGGGCTGCATTGATTTAAGAGGCTATCTTGAGTAGGCTTTCGAAATTTGAAAACATGTTGGGATTGATTAATTTAGAGGGCTATTGGGTCTTGAACTTTTTCCTTTGGGCTTCAATCCTCCTTTTCTTTCTTTTTTTTTCTTCTTTTTAATAGTGTGTGACCAACAATAAAGTCACATTAAATGTAGTTGGGCCACTATTGGTGTAATCTCTTTTTTTCCACTCAACATCTTGTACTAATTTAAAGTAAAAAATTATTTCATAAATTACTTCAAAATGATAAATATGTAGTAGATTGTGTATACCAATGTATTTATATGAGATTACAATAACATAATATATTGACTTTAAACATAGCTTATAAATATTCCTAATCACAATCACGGTAAACAATTTGAATGAATACTAGTGTATCCTAAAAGATTACTAAAAATTATAGTAGTTATGGAGAAATATTTGGTCTCATTAAACATTAATTTGTTGACATTATAAAATTATATGTGTGTTCCTGAAAACTAAGTATTTTATTGTTCAAAATTGAAGTAGATAGAATGTTAATTGTGATATATTAGAATTGTTTTAGCATCATATAGAAAATTAGTAAATTGATGAAATTTTCTTACTACATTATAAAGATATAGTTTATTATGTTTACATGTGATGTAAAATAGTTTCAAGTTAAATTACCCATTTATCTCAATTTTTTTTTTCGTTCATGATTATAGTTAAAATTAGTTAGACTAATTCAGGTTATTAAAGCATTGTTAATGCTAATTTGATCAGACAAAAGTTCACTTAAAGGTCCCCTAACACATACGCGTAACTCAGAAATGAAGGGACAATCAAAGGCTTGACCAACACCACAAATTGAAGCCCTAATTGATCATAGGAAGTAAGATAATAATTCACTGCCACGTGGCAGAAGCTGTGACGTGCTTACCGATAAGGCTATCAGATCTCTTATTTATGTGGCCATCATAGTGTAATGTCAATCTAACGGCCCATAAATGTCCAAGAAATTACTGAATGAATTTTAGCCGCCAGATTTGGAAGGAAGTAAACAAGCATGCATTGGCCTATTTATAGCGGAGGAAGCAGCAATAAGAAGGCCTCTCAAACTGACCACCAAACAGTAGTAGATAGCAGCAAATTAAGAAGTAGAAAGGGCAATGGCTTCCTCCATGGTTCCATCAGCAGCTGTGTCGTCCGTTAACCGAGCCACCGCGGCTCAGGCTAGCATGGTCGCACCCTTTACTGGCCTTAAATCATCCTCAGCCTTCCCAGTTACCCGCAAGCTCAACAATGATATTACCTCCGTAGCCAGCAATGGTGGAAAAGTTCAATGCATGCAGGTACTGTTTTTTCTTTTCTTTTCTTTTCTCTTCTCTGGGTAATTTCAATTGTTCTTTTACATTCTTACACATTTCTAATTTATTGGAATTTGTTGAGTTCAGGTCTGGCCTCCAATTGGGAAGAAGAAGTTCGAGACTCTCTCTTACCTGCCTTCTCTAACCGATGAATCATTGGCAAAGGAAGTTGAATACCTTCTCCGCTCTGGATGGATTCCTTGCTTGGAATTTGAGTTGGAGGTTGTCTACTCTCTCTTTTTTCATTTATGAAATAATGAAATTGTTGAAGATGAAGATGTACTGATAGGTATGTATATATGTTTGGAATGCAGCATGGATTTGTGTACCGTGAGAACGCCAGGTCACCAGGGTACTATGATGGAAGGTACTGGACCATGTGGAAGCTGCCCATGTTTGGATGCACAGACGCTGCTCAAGTGTTGAAGGAGCTCGAGGAGGCCAAGAAGGCTTACCCCAACTCATTCATTCGCATCATCGGATTCGACAACAAGCGTCAAGTGCAGTGCATCAGTTTCATCGCCTACAAGCCCCCCGGTTTCTAAATTCATGAGCTGGCCGCCCATGTCCTTTAATCTTGTTGGGATCAATTCATCTTGATTAGGTTCCATTCATCGTTTCATTTATTTTTCTTTTTTGTTTTTCGTGGGGAGTCATTTTATTCTTGTTTTTGGTTATCTGATCTGGGAAAGGGAATAAAATTTGTCATGTGTTTTCTGTTGTCAAGTATTATTGAACTGGAATGCATTAACTTCACCAACATGTAATATTTATTGTATTTAGAGAAAAAACACTAATTAAGAACAATTATAACCTCATAAAACCATAGTAATAATAAGAAGAATAAGAAGAACGACAGTAACAACACCACCAACAAGAAAACAACCCTCTATTCCTCTCATCAAAATTACTCATATCTATTTATTAAACAGGACACAAACTTTTTTCTGCGATGATCAGTCTATGGATTGATACTCTTCAAGTTCCAAATATCATCGTCCCAAACAACATCACTAAACAGGGCATCGTAATTTTGAGAAATGAACTCAACATCCCAGAATGGTAACCAAACAGACCCCCATGACATTACCTCATCCAGACCACCTATTAACCATGGCAGCTCCTCTAAACCCAGAAAAAAATTCTCTACCCCAACTGCACCAAAATTTCCTTCTTCCTTCTCCACAGCTGGCTTGCTCTTCTTTGCCTCACTCTCGCCTTCATCAATGTTTATTTGCCTCTTCATTTAGAATGTTGTGAAGATTAATCATGGAAGGGACAAGGAGACGAGAGGGAAGAAGAGAAGAAGAGGAGGAAAGGGGGCGGGGGGGGTCGGAATCTGGACCGCTTGGTGAATTTGTCCCTTTCGAGAGGCACAAGGACCTTTGAAGAGGCTTAAGATTCAAATCTGCCGTTAATTTAATCCAATACCGTGACTGAAAACAGGACCCTTTTTCGATGAATTCCCAGTTACCAACTGCACATTTCAGACATCAATTTTGTTTTTAAATTTCCAAGTTTTAGTAGCGTGAATAAAAAGAAAATTTGGTTATATGTAAAATTGAAAAAATAAAGAAAACTTCTGGAATATTACAGGGACCAATGTTTTAAAAAAAGTTTATTTTATTGAATTTTGATATTAAAATTTTATTTTATTATTTTAATTACTATCTTTAATGAAAATTTAAAAAAAAAATTAAATACGTGTCCATGACGTATCAGTCCTATATATGTATATGAAAAATAACATGTCACTTATCATATAAACACAAACTAATGACAATAAAAATGTCGAACATATATTATAAGATTTGGTTACTCAAAGGGTTTAGTAGAACCCAATAAAAAAGTCTTTAGGTTAACTAAATACAAAATAATTCCAACAATTCTAACCAGTAAAAGGACTTGTTTAAAATTTTTTAACTATATTGATCATGTGTAGAAGATATGTAATGCCCCGGTCTCAATATTAGACAAATTATAAAGTTATATATTTACGAAAAGAACTAAAATAAACATGCAAAGCCAAGAATAATAAATATAAATAAAGCATTTAATATGTAATAAAAAATTATTTCAAATTCAAAATTGAAAATAGTTCTCCTCATAATGAAAATTTTTTATCTCAAAAATTTGAAACATATCATTCCATTATAAATAGAAACTGAAACAATTTAAAAGTATCAAATGTAATGAATATGTAAGTCCTCAAATAATTAGCTACTTGATATCAAATCCAAACAATCACATCCTAAAATTTAATAATTACCGCAAATAATCAATACTTTATAGCTAGTAATTGTCGTGCAAAAAAAAATACATGTAATCTAGTAAATAATGATATAAAAAATTGATTTTTTTTATTCTCAATTCACACTTTTTATCAATTTTTATTGAAAATCAAGTCCCAAGTATATATATATATATTCAAAAATTAATAATACATATATTTATGCATAAAAAAATCTCGTCTCTAATATAAATTAAGATAACACACAACTCTAATAATATGAATTATAAAATCATAATTGTCATATTATTTTATTACTAACAGCACAATATCAAAATTAGTTTATTTTATATTAACATGATTATTATTTAATCATAATTGATACAATTACGAATTATTAATTAACTTTTAACTTGTTAGGAGGGTTATAGTGCATAATGTTTAACTTTTATGAGAAGGATAATGAATTTTACAAAAGTAATATCGATTTTAACTTATTTAAAATATCTTAAAATCTATGTTAATGACTTTGTCTAGTTATTTTTGAGTATTGAAATTAAAAGTGAAAGCAAAGAGAGACTTGAACGAAATTGTAGAGATAAGTGTTATTTTAACTAAACAGAGAAAATAGAGAAATTAGTGTTTTAAATACGAAAAATAACTGAAATAGAGAAAAAAAAATGAGAATTCTTTGGATTCCTAAACAAAAATATGCTATTTTAATTTTTCTTAATTAAAAATTTGATAGCGTTAATGTTATTAAACATCTATACGAATTATATTATAGCATTGACCAAAATTCAAAAAATAAAACTAGATATTTACTTTAAAAGTAAATTGACAAACTAGATCCGACTCATAAATTATCTCTCTCGAAAATTGTTGGGTCCAACTCAGAGGGCTTAATTGGGAGAAAAGAAATTAGTAGAACCACGGTTCCTGTTACATTGCCACACCAAATCTGAAATTGAAAATCACCCAACTATAAACCCTCCAATCTCCGCGTAATTCATTTTCAACCTTTCTTGCGGGCATCTTATTTCTCCTTTAGCAATGGCGACTCTAATGCAAAAAATCAATGAGTTAAGTAACTTCCCTTGGTTTCTTTATCCTCCCCAAATTTAAATCTTTCTATTCAATTTTTAATCATCTTTCGGTTCTTTTTGCTTCTTTATAAAATGAAAATGAAAATTGTTTCAACCAAGTTAGGACTCCTTTCTAATTTTTTTTGTCAACATAGCAGCTACCCTTGTCAGAAAATTCTACATAAATGAGTTTGTCTATTTCTTTCTTCAGCGGTCATTCTAGCATTTTTTTTTTATTAAATAGGCCAAAGAGGAAGCTACTAATCTTAATCCAAAATGGTGTTAGAGTGAAATTTAATTCTTCAATGGATAAGTCTGATTTATACTTTTTCAAATATATCAGTTTCATGATTGAAAGAAAAATAATAAATATATTTTTATCAACTGACATTTTTCTTATTTTCAATATTGTACTCAATATTTATTGAATAACTTTAAAAAGAATGAATTTTGATGTTTTATGAATCTTCTCCTACCACTAGAAGCTCATCCATATTTACATTGCGCTTTTGAGCATTAATAACTCTATATTTTTTTACTGGATAATCCATCAAACTCTTTCTTTTTAATTGGATGCAGTCAATGTTAGTATTGCTAATGTTGAGAAAATTCTTCACTTGTCTCTTTCTCTAAACTTGGGTCTGGGATTGTCGAGAGATT